TGGGTGTGGGGACATGGAGGTGGGCGACAGGGCCTTCGCAGGCCTGTGGGGAAGGACAACCCAGGACAGACGGCATCCCTGGGTGGCAGGTGATGCAGAGGATGCAGTCGCCATAAGGAAATTTAAAAAAGAGATAAATGAGGGGGTGTGGGGTGGATAGGTCTGCTTTGGGGGCGCGGGTAGGAGGAAGGCTTCTTTGAAGAAGTGACACTGAGCTGAGCAAGAGAGACATGGAGACACACGGAGGGCTGGAGGGGCTGGAGGGTCAGCAGGGCAGGGTAGGGCAGGGCCTGTGGCCTGTGGCCTGTGGGTGGGAGTTTCAGCCTTAGCCTCAGGCCACGGGAGCCACTGGACAGTATCGTGTGGGCACTGAAGCAGGTAGGTGCCGCCCGAGCATCTCCGAGGTCTGTCACCCTGGGTCTTGGAACTCCCACCAGTCCAGGAGGTAGGGCTGCCAGATTGCAGGCCCCAAGCTCTGTTGGGGTGGTGGGTGACTCCTGCATGTCCCCACTGCGCCCCCCAATGGGAGGGGGGAGACAGGCTTAGGAGCTCAAAACTGCCAGACACTAGGCCCCTCAGTGGTCTTCGCAGCGATCCTTTCCCAGCGACTCTTCTCTTCTAGGATCACATCGGGCTCCTTGGAAAGTCCTTCTCCCGCCGAAGCCAATCCCGAGGGGCAGTGCGCCTCGACGGGCTCCGACCAGGACCCTGGGGAAGACAGAGAAGGCAGCCCCGTCTGGGGCAGCAGCCCCTTCCAGCTCCCGGCTTCCTCGGATGAAGACATCATCGACTTGAAGTAAACAGAGTCCAAGTCACGTTTTCCACCTTTCGTTTTCTTATGGACGTTTATACTTTCACCAGTCCCGACATCATTGCCCAACAGCGCGGCGTCTAGCCTGTCCGCGATCTATTGGACCAAACCTCTGCCGCTCGCCAGTCCGGGTCGGTCTCTAGTGCCCAGTGCGTCTCTCGACCTTGGTTTCTTTCTGTGCAGGAACCATCAGTCCCCTTGTAATACAGGTGGTAGATTTCATTGAGGTTTTAGATTAAAACTTTGAATAAATCAAAAATGTTCACTCTTTCTATGGCAGCCTTCTCATATTTATATACTTAGGTGGGAAAATTATTTTTTTCATGTCCTAGAATGTGTTTCTTTTACAAAGAAAAGCCATTGCTTTTTAAATGTATTATAAATAAGTTTTCTTTCTGCACCTCTGGCCCAATGACTGCTTCAGGTCCCTGTCACCGACACCAGCCCTGTTCCTGCCCCGGGACTCTTGAGGAAAGCTGATGGTTAGGTCTCAGAAGCTCCTGTGCCTTTCTCCTGTGTCTAACAATAATAAGGGACAGGAAGAAGCTGAAGAGTCTTGAGATTATTTTGTTTGGTTCTATTGTTACTCTGAAATCATACAACCAGAGAACAGTTACCAAAACTAGCATTTTCGAGTGCCTTCCTCTCCCTCGGCTCTGCTTTGCTCTTTCCGGTGAACCAGATGACTGTCCTTCCTCTTGTTACCTGTCTGCCTTCCCCTGCTCCCTCCTCCAAGTGAGAAGAGAATCTGGGTGCAAGTGAAACAGCAAAATGTAAGCCTCCAGCCAGGACAGTTAAAGGGGGAACCGAGTGTCCCTAACATTGTAGAAGTTTAATGTGTGAAGAAGGTAACTTACCTCTGGCATTCGTCTGACAAGTCCGTTTTAGTAGATCTCTTCTCGTCTACACTACCCATCAAAAGACACTGGAAATCACTTCCCCTGTTAGTGCAGAGAGCTGTGTGACATAACCTTGATCTGACCTTGATCATGACCTGCCTCCTCGTGGGCCGTGCACACTGCTCCCCTCCCTGCCTGCCGCACACACGGTTCAACACGATGGAGAATGCAAGCTGAAGGCCGCCTGGGTCCCTTCAGCAGAAGGCAGGAGGCCAGAGTCAGAAGGTAAACTAGTAATGAAGTAAAGACGGTGCCTTCTATGTAGAGGCACGTGGGGCGCTTACAACTGAACGTGTCTTCTCGTGGTCTCCGCAGCGTGCAGCACGCTGGTCCTTCCTTTGCGTTTTGTTATGCCCTTGTCACATACGGGGGAACACAAAGTCCACTACATCCTGTATCTCGAACTCACCAAAAGTTTGGTGAATTAGGTTTTATTATTGTTTGCTTTCAAATAAGGAAACAGGCTCAGAAAGGAGCAGTGGCTTGAAGCTGTGAGCTCTCTGGTCTCAGAGCTGGGCTCTCTCCCCTGCCCACCGTACACAGCCAGGCTGAGTGATGGTGCCAGTTGGACCGGGCTGATGTTCATGTTAAGCTAATTTGTGAGCTTTGTGAGCTTGTATGGGTGTTGTTTCCTGTTAATTTCTTCCCCTGATCGTTCTTGCTTCTCATTCTGGAATAGAAAAACCAAGGGCTTTGTAGACCATTTTCCCAAACAAGTGGGCAGTATTAGAGTCACCCCGTGACTTGACAAAAGTCACAGATCTGAGGAATGAGTGTAGAAAGGGCAGGAAGTGGACCCTACTAATCAGGTGGATGGCGCTTCGCTATAAAGCGGGCAGGAGGCTGCTCTGGCAGCAGTATCTGCTTAGTGGTCATGAACTGAACACTCACGGGAGGGAGACCACCAGCCAGGGGGCAGGAGCCAGTTTGTAGGCTCAGAGCTGGCATCGCTGGACTCACTGGAGTATCCTGTCTGCAAAGGTCTCTCCACACACCCCACCCGCTGAGTTACAAAGTAAACTGAGCAGTTTACCCCTGGAGTCTGAGTCATGCATCCACTGCAAACACCAGGTGCTGTGTGCAGAAGACCACGTGCATGGGGCGGGAGAGAAGTAAACAGGTGACCACAAAGCGGTAAGAAGTGCTGTGATGAGAATTTACAGCTGGAGCACAAGATGCCTGTCCTTATGGTGCAGTCAGATGACTGCAGAGGGCAAACAGCTACCATGATCACACTGGTTAGCACCATGATCACACTGGCTGGCACCATGATCACACTGGTTAGCACCATGATCACACTGGCTGGCACCATGATCGCACTGGCTGGCACCATGATCACGCTGGCCGGCACCATGATCACACTGGCTAGCACGGACAGCTTCGCACGCATGTGCTTGGTGTTTGTGTACATTGCCCTTGCTCAGCCCCTGCTCAGCCCCTGCTCCAAACTCTCTTGAAAGACAGATCTCATCTCCATTAGAGATGAAACACAGGCCCAGAGAAAGATGAGAAGCTACGCCTCTTACAGCCCTGGTTCCTTCCAGAATCGCCGGCACCACCCCAGCGGAGGCACCCAGCACTGGTGCTCCTCAGCCCTGGCCTCCTCGCCCTCGCCCCAGCAGCAGTGACTTGGGGGGCACCCGGAGTGGCTGGCTATCAACATCCGCAGCAGACCCAAAGATGAGCGGTGTATATATTTTTATTGATTTCAGAGAGGAATGGAGAGGGAGACAGAAACATGAATGAGAGAGAATCCCCGATTGGCTGCCTCCCCCACGGCCCCAACTGGGGACCCAGCCCGCAACCCGGGGAATGTGCCCTGACCGGGAATTGAACCGTGACCTCCTGGTTCATAGGAGGTCAACCCCTGGGCAAGATGCGAGGTATTTGGATGAATATTCAAGAGTCAGGGTTACCTGTGAAGTGGGTGGAACTTAACAGGGAGCGTGAAGCTCACCGCTGACGCCCTGATCAGTCCCACAGGCGGCATGGGGGCCCTGCCCAACACGGTGCCCAGAACCCGGAGGTCCTAGTCGCGGGCTCTGCAGCCACTGGTGACCCGCAGGTGGGGTGCGCGCGGGGCCACGCCTCCGCCCCCAGAGCCCAACGGGTCCAGGCTCTGAGTCTGGGAGGAGAGTGACACGCGACAGTCTTTTGGAAACTCCAGCCCTGCGGCTCTTGGTGGGCAGAGCAGGGCCGGGCGGAGGGGCCAGGCTTCTCCACGTCAGGGCCCAGAGCCGCGGCTCACGAGGAGCAGGAAGTGCAGACCCGACTGTGGAAAGACCGGGCAACCGCCCGCGAGGGCCTGGAAGTCCGGAGGGGCTCACGTGCTCCGCCTTCGTCCGGCTCCAATCCTATTGGCTGAAGCCAGACAGAGAGGCGACTCCCAGACAAGTGCAATCCCCGCCCTCCACCCTCATTGGCCGGCTCGGCTGGAGGCGCTCCTTGACCCCGCCTGGTCCACACCACTCCTATTGGATGACAAACCCCGCCCCTCCTATACATTGGATAGCTCTGTCCTAGGGGCGGTTCCAGCGCGCTCCGCCTACCGAACTTTGCTTCCATTGGTCTGCTCTGCTCTGTAGGGCGAATCCCAACGGCGACGCCACCGTGTCTTGCGTTCCCATTGGCTGCTTCCACACCCACACCCGCTGCCTCCCAGGGCCTCCCAGACAGGCCCGTTGGCCGGCTCAGCCGGGAGAGCCGGTGTCTGCACCAGGACTTGCCGGCATTGGCCGCGGA